CCCCCCCCCCCAACAACTCCCCCCACCCAAAGCCTCTCTGTGCACCACATCTGCATTGCTGCCGCACACCACACTTGCATCAGCTTTTCCAGCTGATCAACCTCTTGCCCCAGCCCCTATCAGCTGCAGTCCCATCACACCCTCCTCCACCAAGAGCCCCCTTATGCTCACACATTCACCCTTCCCAAGAACCCTCTCACACAATACAGATCTGTCGCCTTGTTCCAATAAAAACTGTTTCCAAACACCATTTTATGTGTTTCATGCTGCCCAGCCAACTCAGTCTGAGGAGGAGTATCCAGAGCTGCTGGGCTGCTCTGGGTAAGCTACTGCTGGGCTTGTGGGGGAAAGATGGGGATAGGTAGCAGTGAGGCCAGTGGGGAGGGACGTCAGGACTAGAGTAGACCCTGGACCCTTGAGTCGCTGCACAGCAGCTGGCTGAAGCTCCAGCAGCTGCCATGCAGCATGCAGTTACCAGTGCTTTATAAACAGCTGTTCACTGCGCCAGGACCCACACAGTGGGGAATGGGGAGGGAGAGACAGTACTGTGCTGGCAGAGGGGGGAGGGACCCTGGATGGCATTGTTACAACCTGGCCCTCCCCAGTGGCTGGGAGAGAGCCAGGGTTGCCCACCCCTGCGACAGGGAGATTGGGAAGCGCAGAGACCATAGCCCCCTAGTTTATTTTAACTTCTAAACCTACCCCATTTCCACTAGCATTCACTATGTTAGACATCCCATCACCATCAAACTTCTTGGTGAAAACTGAAACAAAGAAGTCATTAAGCAGTCTCTACAGTTAACTAACGTTCACCCTTCTCTATTGTTAGAGTGGAGAAAACTCCCATACATTTGAAAACATTCAGGGAAAAAGCTGAGAATCAAATCAATCCTGAAATTGTTGTTTTTACCAATATATATTTTATTCTTACACAGACATGAAACGTACCTTAGACTATGCAAATTTACTCACTACTACATGAAATTCTCAGACTTCTTGCAGTTGTGGAAGGCCCCCCAATACAGAGAAACAACTATTGTACTCTGGCACTGGTCAGCTTCCTCTGCAGCTTTGCTCGCAGCGGGGCAGCATGAAACACATAAAATGGTGTTTGGACCCCCCCAGCAGACCAGGGACACCCGGAGCAGCTTTTCTTGCCCCGGAGGACGCGGTGGCGGTACCATTGCGCGTCTGGGTGGTCCCGCCGCCCGCGAGTTCCGGGGCGAGAAAAGCCCCGTTCGTAAGTGCGGATCTGACGTAAGTCGGATCCGCGTAACTCGGGGACTGCCTGTAATGCTTAGTTTGAGTACTTGGCAAGTGCACAAGACTTAATATGTACTAAAGAGTACCATTTTGCCTGCATCATTGTAGCAAAAATTGTGACAATGGAAATAATATCAATTTCAATTAAATTTAAAGAATGAAATAACTGGCAAATTTCCTCTTTTCACACTGTTAGCAAATAATGGATTTTGCATGAAAAAACTTAGTAACAAAGCTGGAAATTCACTGTGTTTCTTTCAATGCTCATACTATTTTTACTTATGCTAAGAAGCTTCAAACATTCTTTTTGAAGATATATTTCTATACTGCAGTTTATTGACTCTTTGCAATTTGACTTCTGGCCACTTATCTTATTTGTGAAACTGCATCAGGGATGAATCCATACATTATAAATATAAATATTATGGCATATACATGTAGGATTAAAAATACATGATCTTCAAGAACTATATTCATAAAATCAACTATCACACGGACACAACTCTTTTGCATACATAAAAATAGATCAAGTTGGTAATAAATAGAGTTTCAAAATGAGTATTCCAGTCCCAATTAATCTTGTAAAACCTTTTATTTTCCTCTCACACACACTTCTAGCAGGGTTTAATAGAGATATAAAAACATCTCAAAAAAACAATGGAAAGGGGAAGTGAAGACAGTCTTGAGCCTGGGCTCAACATTTGAGAACTGTTAGGTATATAAAAGGGAAAATTACCTCCCTTACAAACAGTTTTCTGAATTACTGAAGTGTGCTTCAGCCGCAGTTTGATTTCAATTTTGCAAGATGATCAGAGTGAGGAGGCAGAAGGATATACAATTTATCTGTCCCACACAATCCTTGCAGTATATGCATAGTTAAGCATTGGGAACAGAATTCTGAGTGTACACAGTGATTTGGCATACAAAGAATCCAAGTTGTGGTTTTTTCTTGACTGTGCTTTGTTCTAAGGGAACTTCGCCACAGTCAGTCAACAGTTGAGAAAGATAGGGATTAAATTTCATTTATCAAATATAGGGGGAATAAAGGTGAAGTAAAATTACACAGAACTTAAGCTTTTTTTAAAAAAATGAAAAAGGTTTATAAGTCTACATAGTTATAAATACAAATGGAATGTAAAAACAACTCTAGTAAAACAACTCTTGTGCCTGATCTGCTGTTCAAAGACTTCCCAAGCATTAAAACAGAAACAATAATAAAATGAAGATTCTGAGCAGGAGTGAAATACACAACCATACCAAATTCATTCTGCCTGAGATGACTAAGCAGAAGTAGCAGTTGGCACTGAAAATATTCACAGATAAGGGACATACAAAAAACATATTTGGGAAAGAATACAGCACCATAAGTTATCCTTCCAGAATCAAATGCACTCTGAAGGCAAAGATTCATAGGGAAAGGAGTTTGAGAAAACATTACATATATCCTGGCTAGAAGCCAGATATAAAGAAATCATGGAATTTAAGAACTTCAAATTATTCCAAAGTTACCTCACACACTCAATTTTCTGCAAAAAAGGCAAAATTAGAGACATGCTCATAACTGGCAGAGCTGATATGGCAGAGATCAGTATTACAATTTTAACAGCGTCCTGTAAAATACTAGTTTGGTACTACACGTAATACGTAATCTGTACTCATTTAGTCAGAGTGGTGAGCTATACAGTACTATTAAAAGATGATGTGGAGGAAAGGATATAAATAACAAGTATTCTCTGATAATTATTTGCTGTACAGAGCTTGAGAGCTAATACTAGGGTTTGAAAACCAGTTATATCTTTTAGAATAAAAACTAAACTATTTAACAGGCACCTTTTTGTTTGTGTGTGTTGATATTAAGCACAGAATCCACAACTTTTGAAGAACTTTATGTTATATGTAGGCTATGTCAGCTATCATTACACTCACTTTGGGAAAAGCAATGAGGAGTCCTGTGGCACCTTACAGACTAACAGATTTATTGAAGCATAAGCTTTCGTGGACAAAGACACACTTTGTCAGATGCATGCGAAGTGAGTCTTTGCCCATGAAAGCTTATGCGTCAATAAATCTGTTAGTCTATAAGGTGCCACAGGACTCCTCGTCGCTTTTGCGGATTCAGACTAACATGGCTACCCCTCTGATACTTGTCACTTCGGGAAAAATTTTTTTTAAAATAAAGTCACTCTTGAAAAAACACTCTTGAAAATCAGACTGTTAATAGTGCTTCTCAGATTTATTACAGGATTATTTTCAACATTCTTTGGGGGCAGAAAATATTGCTTCATCTCAGCTCTAAAAAGTGAAGTTTACATAATTATGTTACATTTTATAAATAGATCACCATCATAAGCTACATTTAAACTTATAATTAAACATCTTCACTTTCTTCAGAAACAGACCAAAATTAAAATTAGTGATTGAATTCATTCTTTTCAACCTTCCCCTTACAGTAAAAGCATATTTGCAAGGCACTATAGTGAAATTTACAACAACACTGCCCATGTCATATTTGCTTTATAAGTAAACAGAAAATGACAAAGGAGGCTCAAAACATTTTTAGACCTGTTTCTTGTTAAATATCGTGAACAATGCTCAATTCACAGGACATTACTGTGTTGACTGTAACCACTACTCAAAAGAATTAAATAACTGAAATTGCTGCATTTGTCCACATTCCTCATTTTGAATAAAATCTGCCAAACACAGTTACAAGTAAAATTAAGGATTTAACAGAAATTCTGCCACTATGTAAACAAGTTAAATTTTGTCTTCCACAAAAAAATGTGATTTTAAAAGTGAACTTTCCAACCTGTAAATGAGGCAGGAACTGTTAGAATTATTTACAATAGTCTTTAAATGGGTTTAGGACTGTGCTATTTATATTACAGCAATAATTAATTATTGCAATTAATATACAGTTAACTATTTTGTGGATCATGCAAACTTTTTAATCATGAAGACCACAAAAATACCACATCCAATACATAAAACATTCAAATACCTGATATTAAAACTCACTTGTTGCAAAGGTTCATCAATTATATTGGCACCTGTCAATCTTCTGTCAATCTTAATAGGCCTGGCTTCACATTTCATTTCTTCTGTACACTTAAAAAGAGATTAAACAATTTTACTAATAAGATCTTCACTATGAATAAAACCTACTTGCATTACTGTTTATGGTAGATTCATATTTTATTGAATAATCCTATAATACAGTATTTCCCTTATAATAATGAGTTATATAGTACATAAAATTATTTGAATACACACACATCTTCCCACCCCTTGTTCCACATAATAAATCAAGCTGAAAACACTGGAAAAACTCTGCCCATATGGTAAAAAAGTTGATTCCTCTGTAATGCCATAGAAAGTATGTGGTTGAGACAGGACTGAAAGTTAGAGCCCTGGGTCTTATACCTGATACTAGAAACTGTAACCTTGAGCAAATCAGTTCATCCTCTGTGTTGCATTAAGCACACAAAAATAAACAAGTAATTTTCCTAAAAGAACACTGAACTATTATTAACAAGCTCTGGAAAGCCTGTTAAATAGGGTACTACAAAAATGCATACACACTCTGTACAACAAAATTTCAGTACACATATGAGTTAACAGAAGAAAAGAGGACAAATATGCTCAAACAATAGTAGTAAAATAGTAAAAGCTTCAGGGAAGATTGTGAGAACTGACCAAACTTCTGACAGAGAAACGTCATTTATAGGTTAGTCTACACAGACAATGAACAAAATAGCAATTTTACTACAAAAATTGAGGATATTAAGAGAAGGGAAGGATTTCTCAAATATCTGCTCACAGTGCAAGATTAAGAGAAGCAGAAGTATTTCTTACACAAGATTATACTGTGTGTGCACTAAAGAATAGACAGCAACTCTGCAACTCTCTAACTATTTGAACTTCCCTTTTTCACGCTATGGTAAAATAAATATGAAATTTCTATTGACTACAATGTTTGTGTATTGGTCCAATAAAATATTTACCTTGCCCATCTTGTCTCTCTAAACAGACTGAGACAGAACTTAGATTGAGACAGAACTACACAGGCTGACATCTAAACATCTCTGCATCATTGGAGCAGGAGATACAATTCCTCTTGACTTAGATAAAATATATTTAGAAACAAACATCGGAACTAGGCACAGACCAACTTATCTTAGTGAAATACTTTGTTAGGAAGCTGAGAAGACTGAATCACTAACATGCTGATTTGTCCTTCCGCAACAATTAAAAAATACCTTATGGTTTAACATTCTTATGGAAACAAAACAGCTAAGAAAAGAGACACATAGAGCTCTGATCACTAGGCTCCAACTTTTACAGTTTTGTAGACCGACACACAAACATCTATTAAATGACTACATATGGAACTATAAAAGTTAGAGGAAAAACTACAGATTGCACACAGGAACAAACTACTTCATATATGTGTCTTTCAGCTTCTCTTGCTGTAGTCAGAAAAAAAAAATCAAAATATAATCATTTAATAGCACACACTTTTTGTGTTTTTGAAAGGCCAGTGCAGGATTTGCTTATTTATTATACTTTGTTGCAGAAGAAGAAAACCTGACTCGAACTTTAAGTACAGAATTGCTCACTTTGGGAAACAGACACTTTAACTGATACATTTCAATTTATTTTTTTTTGATAGTACAGCATATTAAGAAAGTCATATAAGAAAGTCTGAAGTTCATGAATTCTGATCTTGAAACTATAAAGCAGTGGTCTCCAACCTTTTTATACCCAAGATCACTTTTTAAATATCAGGGCCAGCTAAGATCTACCCCTCCCCAATCCCAAGGCCCCATCCCTTCCTTGAAGCCCTGTCCTCTCTGTTCCCTTCCTCTCCATCACTTGCTGTCCCCAGCCCTTACTCACTCTCACTGGGTTAAGGCAGGAGGTGCAGGCTCTGGGGTGGGAATGAGTGATCTGGGGGAGGGAAGGGGTGAGAGGTGCAAGCTCAGGTGGGAATCTGGGTACAGGAGAATGTGGAGAAGGGGATGCTGGATTACAGTGGGGGCTCCAGGCTGGAGAGTGTTGGGGTCAGGTGGAGAATTTGGGTGCTGAGCAAGGTGCAGGCTTGTGGTTGTGAGGGTGCAGGAGTTCAGGTTGGGGTGTGTGAGGCACTCAGAGCAAGGGGGTTGGGAGTATGATGGGCTCAGGACACAAATTTGCAGTGTGGATGATATAGGAATGTTGTGGCAGAAGACTTGGGGATATAGGGGAGCTAAAGATAGGAGGTTCAGGTGTATGATGGGCTCAGGATTAGGGTCTGTGGGGGGGTGCAAGAGTGTTATGATGCTGCAGCCAGATGGGAGCTAGGCCCCAATTGGGGGCTAGTTGGCCAGGCTTCATTTTTAAATAAAATATTATGTCCCACACAAACATTTCAGAATTGTCTTTATTTATGGGAGGGGTGGAGAACCTGTTTTGGGTCAGAAGTCATTGACCCACAGAAAAAAAAAAATCAGTTGAGACCACACAAGTAAGATGCAAAAAAACAACCCCCAAGCCTCACTGATGTGACCCCAACTGAGACAGCTCCCTCTCCTGGCACTCCAGACTCATGCGGGGAGAGGATAGGTAGGACTGAGGTTCAAGGGCTCAGGCCAGATTAACTCTTCTGGGGTTCCAGGGTTACTGGAATTTGTGGGCCCCTCTACACTCTGAGGTGGGACCAAAAATGAGGGATCCAGTGTGCGGGACAGGGCTGCCAGTGAGTAGCATAGAAATGGGAGGGGGGGGAGGAAGAGGAGAAAATCTGGTGGAAAATAGGTTACAGGAGCAAGCTGGGGGTAGGTGTCTGGCCAGGAGGGAGGGGGCAGGAGCAGGGTGTGTGGGGGAAGGGAGGAGCAGCCTGTGTGCCTCCTGAGATGCTGACTCTGGCACACAACCCGGTAACACCCTCCGCCCCCCCGCCGCTGCAAGAAGGCAGTAGGGGGAAGGAAGTCCCCAGCTGCACACCAGACCCTGTTTTTCAGGAAGCACGCTGGCTATTTGGGAGAAGGGAGGAGCAGCCTGTGTGCCTCCTGAGATGCTGACTCTGGCACACAACCCGGTAACACCCTCCGCCCCCCCGCCGCTGCAAGAAGGCAGTAGGGGGAAGGAAGTCCCCAGCTGCACACCAGACCCTGTTTTTCAGGAAGCACGCTGGCTATTTGGGAGAAGGGAGGAGCAGCCTGTGTGCCTCCTGAGATGCTGACTCTGGCACACAACCCGGTAACACCCTCCGCCCCCCCGCCGCTGCAAGAAGGCAGTAGGGGGAAGGAAGTCCCCAGCTGCACACCAGACCCTGTTTTTCAGGAAGCACGCTGGCTATTTGGGAGAAGGGAGGAGCAGCCTGTGTGCCTCCTGAGATGCTGACTCTGGCACACAACCCGGTAACACCCTCCGCCCCCCCGCCGCTGCAAGAAGGCAGTAGGGGGAAGGAAGTCCCCAGCTGCACACCAGACCCTGTTTTTCAGGAAGCACGCTGGCTATTTGGGAGAAGGGAGGAGCAGCCTGTGTGCCTCCTGAGATGCTGACTCTGGCACACAACCCGGTAACACCCTCCGCCCCCCCGCCGCTGCAAGAAGGCAGTAGGGGGAAGGAAGTCCCCAGCTGCACACCAGACCCTGTTTTTCAGGAAGCACGCTGGCTATTTGGGAGAAGGGAGGAGCAGCTCAGTTGATTCCTGAGATGCTGGGTCGGGCTTCTCTCCCCACATTGCAGAAAGCTGGTGCTACCTCCATTTTCACAGGAGGTAGTGCCAGCACAGGCTACTTTTTGAGGGTCGGGGAGAATGCTGGGGGGGG